TCGGCTCTAGGACATGAGCTTATGAGCAGTCAACAGGATTTCCTGGTGCACAGTGCTGGAGTAGAGAGAAAAATCCAAGAGCTTTGAATCTGAGATCTGGGAGTATCAAGCTGATAGTGAGGGCAAGGGAGGAAATGAGGAATTCACTTCTGGGATGTTAACTGTGTGATGTTTACTTCTGACTAAGAATCAAGGTCCGGGAGAATTGTACAAAAAGTCCAGAGTTTGGGGGAAAGGTCTGGCCTTGAGTGTGAATGTGAGAATTATGGATCTACAGAGGACAGAGTTTCTCTATTGCCTGGTTTCTGTCAACCTTCTGGTTTTTCTTCTTCCTTCTCTCCACTATTCAGTTTACTCATCTCTCAAGATTCAGTCATAATTATTTGCACTTTGTGACATAAACAGTCACTTTTGTCACAAAGTCTCTCGTTGTCTAATCATCTTCTCTTATTTTTATGTATAGAGTTTTGGGTTTGGTGCCACAGCTGGTGATGTCCAGGCTCTGTGCTCAGGAATCACTCCCGGGGGTTCTCAAGGCATCACACGCAGTGCCAGGGCATTGACCCATAGTCAACAGAGTGCCTAGAACCTTAAACTATCTCTGCAGTCCCTAATCTTCTCCTGACTTAAAACTCAAACCACCCGAGGCCCTGACCAGAGTAACAAGCCTGGTGTGCCCTGTGAGAGCAGCTCCTCCTTAGGAGCCAGGCTGGTCACACAGGTGCTGAGTGGGTGCACTCTATCAGCGCACACTTGCAAAATGGAACCACAACTCTATCTTGTTGAGCACAAGAAACAGAAAAAGAATATTGTTACAATCCGGTGTCTGTAAGACCATACAAAGCAATGAACTCTGCAACAGAAGACTTTATTTGGCACAAGTCAAACAAATATGGAGTTTAGAAAGCTGATAAAAAAAAACCCAAAAAAATAAATCTGACCAGTTGGGGCCATCACCTCTAGTAGGAGAGCGACCCCTCTCCCTTGTTTCCAGAATTCATTTATACTTTAAAAACTCAATAGGCTTCCCTGACCTTCTTGTGACACTCCCTAGTGACTTTTCCCTTGATTGGTTTGGTATTTATGTCCACTGACTTCATGCTGGATAATTCTGCTTTTTCATCTGATCCTCATAAATGGATGTTATCCGGTTCAACTGACAGTTACTGGCCAAAGCTGTGCTTTTCCAAAATGACTCTGCTGATGATAAGCAAGGCTAAGTGTTGTGGGAGGGGAGTAGGCCTTCACAACATGGGATTTAATTGTGGTCCAACAACAATAGTGGTCCTCTGATGCAGATCTGTTACCAGAACCATGAGACACTACAAATCAGAGGAAATTATTTTTATATTATTTCATAAAATGCCTAGTCTTTGGGGAGGTAATCCAACTAGAAAGTCCTTCACTTGGTATGAAAAATCATGGAGTGACTCACGGTCCCTCAACTCATAACTCATTTTGTCCAAGCAACTAACTGCTCCGTTTGTTTCAAAACACAAATTTGAACCTTGCTGTTTCTTGCTCTCTTGTATCCTTGATCTCTCTCCACATTCAAATATCTATGTATAAGAAGTACACCTTCCTCTGTATCACTTTTGTTATTATTTTTTCCTTAAATCATTTAGCTCAAATCAAAGACTAATGACTTTTTTCTAATATGCGCTTATTATTATGTTAATTATACATAAGATGAACCAGCCTGTTAAAAGAATAAAATTTGTAGGAATAGAGCACGTTCACAATGGTGAAATCATCAATGGCATACATTTCTAGAACTTTCCATTAAGCTGAACAGAAATTGTGTACCCCAAAAGACTCAAATCTCTCTGCTCCCCAAGCTCCAGTGTATTTTTTCCTCATTGAATTAGTCTATTTTTGGTATACTATATATGTATGTGAATATTTCTCTTTTTATATGTGATTCATTTCAATTAACAAAGTATTTATTTTAAGGTTCATTTGTATTATAGGCCGGATCAGAATTTCATTAATGAGTAGGAATGCAAATATTCCATTTTATACACATAATAGATTATGTTCATTTATTCATCTGTTGAGATAATATTCTATTAATTTAAGACAACAAGCTTTTGATAATTATCACAGCAAAATATATTGATCAGGCAATTAAAAAAGTATAAAATCTCAGGGACATGATACCATGTTCAGTTTCTGAGGAATTTCCATGTATATGTTAGAATTTGTATCTTCCTCTCAGTACTCGGGCTGAGAACAGACACTGCCAGGAGCATCATCTGGGGAAGAGAAGGATGGATTTACTGAGGCCCTGGCAGGTCAGGGATATCCCATTAGCACCACCGTCCCTCTGCTCACACTCATTGGTCAGAAAAGTCTCATGGTTCCTCATAATGAAAAGAAAAAGTCCAACATTCCCCGAGTCGAGTCAGACAGTGTAGGAACAGGAGAGTTGCTAATTCCAGACATTCCAGGGAAAGCTCCTAAACCACCCTCTATGCCATGTCCTTAAGCTCCTAGTTCCTAGATTCACCCCCGAGTGACCGAAGCTTCGGATACCACCAAGAGAGACTTTTTCATCCGCATCTGTGACATGAGTCCAGCTGACACAGGCACCTACTACTGTGTGATGAACATAATAAATATGGAGTTCAAATATCGGTCAGGCACTCAGGTCACTGTGAGTGGTGAGTGCAGGGGGGTCCTTTGTTCTGCTGTGTGACCACAGTCAGTCAAGTCAGCCTCATTTCTGAGAGCAAGAACTAAGGCCACGGCAGGAGCTGGTGCTTGTCCTTTGATCAGCTTTACAGTTCACTTCACCTGCCTTTGGAAATCAAAGAAATGAAGGTCACTGAGTCCTGCAGTTTGCATCTGAGAAGAACACTCTGAGAGTTGTTCTCGATATGGAGCATCTTCTCTTTCCTCAGTACCTCCTGTGTGTCCAGCCCTACTCTGGGCACAGTGGAAACAGGGGTCATCGCAATGACCAGAGGCTTTACTCCAAAATAAATTATTTCTATTCCCTCTAACAACGTGCCAGCAATAGGGCTTCGTTTGGTTTTGTTTGTGAAACATCACTGACAAAAGGTGATAAGAGGCTCACACTCTGTTCAGTTTGACAGTCTGAAAGTCACAGGGCTGCCCAATTTCAGAAGGGCTGTAAGGAAACCCTGCAGTGGTTCAGAGAAAGACTCACACAGTCACTGAAAACTCTGAGCAGAGGAAAATCTCAACCAGGGAAAATTCCTCAGTCAGGTGACAAAAGGCTGCCTGATGAGATGACGGGAAGTCCTGAGACAATCTTTAGAGGACTCAGTCTTCTCATTTCCAAAATGGCAATAATAATGGACTCCTTTTAGGAGAGTTGAGATGCCATTGCTCAGAAGCTCTGAGTAGTCCCAAACCAGGGGCTAGATGAAAATTGTGAACCAGCTTCCTCCTGCTCATCAGTCTACTTATGCATAGAAGGCAACTAATCTACCAATCTTTGTGGGAAGGTGTAAGATGCAATGAGCCTGGTGAGAGAACAGATGAGTGTTGGGAACTAAGGGTTAAGTTAGACAGGATGAGGAAAGAGCCGGGGGCGGGGGAGGGGCAGAAAAACAGGACCTTGTGTTGAGAACACTGGTGCTAACTTACGTGGAACAGCACTGAGGCATGGACCTGTATTGCTCCATGTTGGCCTGACAGACTTGATATGAGAAAACAGATAAAAAGAAAAAGCCCTCAAGAAAGATATTTGCCCTGGGCTGCCCAAGGCATGAAATTTAGCTTAGAACTAAGCTTGGTTTAGAGTAGGTTTTCTGAGAGCAGTTGTGCTTGTAATCAAAGTATCCTGTCCCCATGCTAAGAATATTGTCCCCCCAGTTCTGGTTTCTTGACATAAGGCAATAAATGTGATCTGCAAGGTACCAATGGGGTGCACAGTCCTAAGGGTGTTAGCCCTGTGACCCCACTCTACACTCATTTCTGTCTTGTTTCTTAACCATCGGTGGCACTCTCTTCATGGGGGCTGGTCCACAGCAGATGAGCAGTAGTGTGTCATCCCAAAGCTGTGGAAGTCTCAGTGTCTGAGATCCTCCTTTTCTCCATCAGTGAAATAGTGGCTTTAGTTCAAGTCTGTGAGTTGTAGGGATGGGTACGAAGTCCTGTGGAAGCATCACTATCATCACTAAGCCCCAGAAGAGAGCCTGGTGAGCTGCCTGCCTGGACTCATGTTTGTGCTCTGCCTCCTTGTCTCTGTGACCTCTGACCTATCACTCCACATGGGACCAGGGTCCTCTTCTTTATTTTTATGTTTGGAGAGAAGGAGAAAGGGGGGGAGGGAGAAGAATGGAAAGAGGGAAGATATCTGTTTATGTTCACAGCTGGGGCAAGACATGTGGGTTTGGTGTCTGTGCAGGGAGGTTGAGAAGGCAGAAATGGCTGCAGTGTTGAGACTGGGGACAAGGAGAGGGAGGAAGGCCAGAGGAGAGGGGTGGCAGGACCCCGGAATGCTCACTGAGGAGTGTAGTTCCACACAGTGCCATCTCCCTGCAGGGGAGCCAATGGACCACTGGTGTCCCTGGAGCTAGAGATGTGCAGAGGTTAAGGATTCTGGTTAGAAACCTGGGGCAGCCTGAGATCCAGCTGCAGTACCTTGTGTAAAGGCAGAGACCCTGGACTGTGGTTGTGCAACTGTGCAGTCTGTAATGGGGAACCATTTTGTAGCCCTCGCAGCATTGGGCTCAAGATCTGGCAGATATGAAGGGCACAATGAACACTGCTGAGAACTGACAGAATGAAGGAAGGTGGGAGGATGGACTGACATTCTGTCACTGCGCAACATAAAGAGTCCAAAGGTCCTTCTTTGTCAGCCTCCACACTCCACAAAAGCATGCATGGGAGAGTGACTGCTGGGAAGCACTTGAGCTCTGTAAGTTGAGGAGGTTACTGCCCTGTAGGTCATGATGTACTGAACATAGGTGTTAGTCCTTGGTGCACACTCTCCCTGTGCTCACTGTGTCCAAATGCTCCCTTTGTAGCCAAACCTTCTCATCCAGAGGTCTTAAACCCTACAAAGAGGGTCCCACGTGGGCATACAGTGAACTTCACCTGCAAGTCCGATGGCTTTTTCCCCAGAGACATCAGTCTGCGGTGGTTCAAAAATAGGAACACACTCTCGGCCTCCCATACTAGTGTGGACCCCCAGAGGGAGAGCACCTCCTACAGCATCTCCAGCACAGCCAGGGTGCCACTGACCTCAGGGGACGTGCACTCCCAGGTCATCTGTGAGGTCACCCACATCCTCCTGCGTGGGGGCCCTCCTCTCCGAGCGATGGTCAGCTTGTCTGAGATCATCCGAGGTAGACACCCTCACCCCAACCCCTGCATCGCCTTGACCGCTTCTGCCCCCTGAGTTTTGATCTACTGTTCTGGAATCTAATTCCCATCCGCCCTTCCTGATTGCCAGCGTGCTAGATGTGCCCACCACACATGCCTCTTTCCATGGCAAACCTACCTGTATTCTCATACTGTACAGAATATCTCATTTATTTTGTGAAAAGCAACTGAAATTCCTAATTACCTAATATCAACCACCCCCGTGTGCATTCTTTATTTCACTTTTTGGTGATATTATTATGTTCATACTGCATGCAAGAGACTTTGCTTATCCCACTTGTTTCTTCCCTAGTAGAAGCTGTGCCTGACGACTATTCTGTGTGAGATACTGTGCTATTGGTTTCATTCTTGTGCAAAGAGCTCTCCCAGTGTGAGCTCCTACCTAGCTCTGTGTGCCTGGGACTGTTGGGGTGAGTTTCTGCTGTGTATTGGAATTTAAGCACTAAATCCTAGGTCCTGTGACTTGTCTCTCCCCCGAGATCAGAGCTTCTGCCCTGGGCTTTTTCAGTTCCACCCACGCTGGAGGTCTCCCTGTTCCCTGCAGTGGGCAACCAGGTGAACCTCACCTGCCAAGTGAAGAAGTTCTACCCCCAGAACCTACAGCTGACCTGGCTGGAGAATGGAAACATGTCCCGGGCAGAAATGGTCTCCCTCCTCCTAGAGAACAAGGACGGGATCTTTAATCAGACCGGCTGGCTCCTGGTAAACTACTCTGCCAGTAGGAGAACATGGCCTTCACCTGCCAGGTGGAGCACGATAGGCAGCCAGTGCTCACCAAATCACACACCCTGGGCTCAAATGAACAACCTGGTAAGGGTACAAAACTACTGATCTAGCTTCCTTTTGATCTTAAATATTATAATCATACTGATTGTACAGACCTTTAGAAATCTCTGCCTCCATCATGCATTCCAAGAAGAACCACTAGGATGAGGTTGGTCCAGGTGTTGGACATAAATAAATCTTGAGAAATAAAGTAGGGAGGGACCGAGATATACCACAGTGAGTAACTGCTTGACTTACATTCAACTGATTTGTGTTTAATCTCTGAAAACCCAAATGGTACCCCCCCCCCCAAGCTATCTAGGAGTGAATCTTAACTGCAGAGTCAGGTGTAAGTTGTGAGCAGAGACAGGTGTGGACAAGCCAATAAAGAAATAAAGTGGGGAAGGAAGGTCATAATTCATGAGTCCTGACTCCCACTTGATTCTCCTCACAGCGATTCCCTTCACCATCCAACTCAGCTCATCTCCCTCCTGTTTTCTAACCCTGGTGAGACTTGATTCCATCCCAGACTTCCATTTGTTTCATCTGTTTTGTAAGATCACCCAATCACACTGGGACCTTCTGTCTGTGCAGACACAGAGGAAACCCTGCATAGTTGAGTCCCATTGGTCACCTGCATGTGGTGATTGGAATCAAGGATTTCCTGTGTCCTCTAGTTTGTAACAATGGAACTGCAATCATCATCAACATTCTGCACGGTTACCACTGGAAATTACTTTCCATCTACAATCTCCTTTCTGCTTAAACCATCCCCTGAGTTTAGATTTTTACAGAAGATATTTGGGGAGCAATGAGGGAAGGATGATTTAAGACTTCCTACTTTAAACCAGATGGTCGGAATAAAATAATCCAGGTCCATGACTCCTGAGGCAAAAACCACTACCCATGACACCTGATATGTTATTGTTGATGTGCTTCCCCATTGTTGATGGCATTATTCAAGGACTTGCAGTTTCTGTTTATGTGAACAAATACATCTTTTTTCTCCTTCATGAAACATGAGGACAATCCAGTCAGGTTTCTGGGAGAACCTTCCAAAGTATGTACACACACACACACACACACACACACACATACACACACAAAGACCCAGCATTATTCCAGCATGCCCTAGAGTTGTCTTTATCTGCTGGTCAGGGGAATGAGAAAATTTCCTCAAAGAAGATGCACACGGAATTTATTTTATTGTGCCCATGGCACCACAGTCCTATTTGCACATCTAGCTAGAAATGGAACCCAGAACTATGTTGTCCTATCATTGTTTTCCATTTTCATTCTGGTATCAGAATTAACAATACAGGTAATGGTATATTGTTTCATCACCCACACCACAGTAGACAATTACTCCCACCAATATGCCAAGAAACCCTTCAATCCACCTCATCTTCCCTCTGCGTAAGGACAGTTCTATACACTGTCTTTATTAACTTTTAATAGAACATTTATTGCACTGTTCGATTCCTCCGCCCCTCTCGGAGAGCCCGGCAAGCTACCGAGAGTATTCGATATGCCAAACACAGTAACAACAAAGTCTCCAATGGAGACGTTACTGGGCCCGCTCGAGCCAATCGACGATCAACGGGAGGGCCTTTACCTTTACCTTTACCTTTATTGCACTGTAGCACTGTTCTCTCGTTGTTCATCAATTTGCTCGAGCGGGCACCAGTAATGTCTCACAACAAATTGTGAGACTTGTTACTATTTTCGGCATATTGAATATATCATGGGAGCTTGCCAGGCTTTGCTGTTTGGGCAAGATACTCTCGTAGCTTGCCGGGCTCTCCAAGACAGGCCGAGGAATTGAACCTGGGTCTGCCACGTGCAAGGCAAATGCCTTACCCACTGTGCTATCGTTCTAGCCCATAAACATTTATATTAATAAAAATTAATCTCTTCATTTAAAAAATTTTAACAATGTAAAATAGTGTCATCAATCACTTTGTTTTTATTTGGGGCTACATCTGACAATGCTCCTACTTACCCTGTAGGAGGTGCCAGGATCAAACCTGGGTGGCTGTGAAAGGCATGAGTAAATTCATAAGTGTATGAAGAAAAATGGTGAATAGAAATAGATTTGGGGTGCCAATAAGATTTGGTTTACTTTGTGAAGCATATTCTGTTTACCTCAATGCTAAATGTTTCTACTGCTTGAATTATTCCTCCCCACAGGACTGGAAAAGAGACATGCCTGCTGTCCCATTTTTTAGGTAGACACTGGGGGTACCAGTACCAGCCCTCTGGATAGGCCATTGGATCAGCTCCCTGGATCCCACTGCGGCACTGCTTCCCTTGTAATCCCTCTAGAAACACTTTCTCTAACTTTGGGAAAATTTCCAACAGTCATTCCCAGCTCAGAAAGTTGGATACACAAAACTGTTTTCATTGGGTTGCCAAGTAGACATAAACCAGGTGTTAAGCACTGTGCAGGGTAGCTTCAAGTACTTTATAATTCATATCTCAAGTAAAGCAACTATAATTAATCTCCTCTATGTACACAGAGATTCCTATACTTTAGGACAGTTACTATTTTCTTGTTATATTTCATTTCATTTTCATTTCATTTCATCATCCTGTTATTCGTCGATTGCCTCGAGCAGGCCCCAGTAACGTCTCTTTCATCCTTGCCCTGAGATTATATTCAAGGCTATTTAGGAGAATGAGACCCATCATTGTTACTGGTATTTGGCATATTTGGTACGCCACGGGGAGTTTGCCAGACTCTGCCCTGTGGGCAGGCTACATTCAATAGCCTGCAAGTTTGTCCAAAGTAGGAATAAGACAATAAGATGTCATAAAAAAAAGTTTTGTTAAGATGTCGCGCGGCCGCGAATGCGGCCGCGCGGTTCCGGGTTCTGGATTTTAAAGTCTCTGAGTCTTGGCCGCTGATGGGATTACACGGCGCCAGGGGGCCAGGTGGTGGGTGTTACCCCCGCCTACTGGAATTTGGAGGATCTGGGTGGAAGATGCTCGACTCCAATTCGAGTAGGCTTGGAGGTCTCGGCCCCGGAACCCGCGTGGCTTTGTCCCTCTGCCAGTACCTTCAGGTGTGCGGAGAGTGGTCTCAGCATGGTGGTGGCTGGTCCTGGAGGTCTCCGGCTGCCGTAGCCCTGGCCGGGGCGGGGAGGAAAGCTCAACCCGCTCCCCTCCAAGGGACTCCGGGAAGGAACACCCAGGCGCGGGGGCAGAGACTGCACTGTTCTCGTCCGGGTTCTGGATTTTAAAGTCTCTGAGTCTTGGCCGCTGATGGGATTACACGGCGCCAGGGGGCCAGGTGGTGGGTGTTACCCCCGCCTACTGGAATTTGGAGGATCTGGGTGGAAGATGCTCGACTCCAATTCGAGTAGGCTTGGAGGTCTCGGCCCCGGAACCCGCGTGGCTTTGTCCCTCTGCCAGTACCTTCAGGTGTGCGGAGAGTGGTCTCAGCATGGTGGTGGCTGGTCCTGGAGGTCTCCGGCTGCCGTAGCCCTGGCCGGGGCGGGGAGGAAAGCTCAACCCGCTCCCCTCCAAGGGACTCCGGGAAGGAACACCCAGGCGCGGGGGCAGAGACTGCACTGTTCTCGTCCGGGTTCTGGATTTTAAAGTCTCTGAGTCTTGGCCGCTGATGGGATTACACGGCGCCAGGGGGCCAGGTGGTGGGTGTTACCCCCGCCTACTGGAATTTGGAGGATCTGGGTGGAAGATGCTCGACTCCAATTCGAGTAGGCTTGGAGGTCTCGGCCCCGGAACCCGCGTGGCTTTGTCCCTCTGCCAGTACCTTCAGGTGTGCGGAGAGTGGTCTCAGCATGGTGGTGGCTGGTCCTGGAGGTCTCCGGCTGCCGTAGCCCTGGCCGGGGCGGGGAGGAAAGCTCAACCCGCTCCCCTCCAAGGGACTCCGGGAAGGAACACCCAGGCGCGGGGGCAGAGACTGCACTGTTCTCGTCCGGGTTCTGGATTTTAAAGTCTCTGAGTCTTGGCCGCTGATGGGATTACACGGCGCCAGGGGGCCAGGTGGTGGGTGTTACCCCCGCCTACTGGAATTTGGAGGATCTGGGTGGAAGATGCTCGACTCCAATTCGAGTAGGCTTGGAGGTCTCGGCCCCGGAACCCGCGTGGCTTTGTCCCTCTGCCAGTACCTTCAGGTGTGCGGAGAGTGGTCTCAGCATGGTGGTGGCTGGTCCTGGAGGTCTCCGGCTGCCGTAGCCCTGGCCGGGGCGGGGAGGAAAGCTCAACCCGCTCCCCTCCAAGGGACTCCGGGAAGGAACACCCAGGCGCGGGGGCAGAGACTGCACTGTTCTCGTCCGGGTTCTGGATTTTAAAGTCTCTGAGTCTTGGCCGCTGATGGGATTACACGGCGCCAGGGGGCCAGGTGGTGGGTGTTACCCCCGCCTACTGGAATTTGGAGGATCTGGGTGGAAGATGCTCGACTCCAATTCGAGTAGGCTTGGAGGTCTCGGCCCCGGAACCCGCGTGGCTTTGTCCCTCTGCCAGTACCTTCAGGTGTGCGGAGAGTGGTCTCAGCATGGTGGTGGCTGGTCCTGGAGGTCTCCGGCTGCCGTAGCCCTGGCCGGGGCGGGGAGGAAAGCTCAACCCGCTCCCCTCCAAGGGACTCCGGGAAGGAACACCCAGGCGCGGGGGCAGAGACTGCACTGTTCTCGTCCGGGTTCTGGATTTTAAAGTCTCTGAGTCTTGGCCGCTGATGGGATTACACGGCGCCAGGGGGCCAGGTGGTGGGTGTTACCCCCGCCTACTGGAATTTGGAGGATCTGGGTGGAAGATGCTCGACTCCAATTCGAGTAGGCTTGGAGGTCTCGGCCCCGGAACCCGCGTGGCTTTGTCCCTCTGCCAGTACCTTCAGGTGTGCGGAGAGTGGTCTCAGCATGGTGGTGGCTGGTCCTGGAGGTCTCCGGCTGCCGTAGCCCTGGCCGGGGCGGGGAGGAAAGCTCAACCCGCTCCCCTCCAAGGGACTCCGGGAAGGAACACCCAGGCGCGGGGGCAGAGACTGCACTGTTCTCGTCCGGGTTCTGGATTTTAAAGTCTCTGAGTCT